TCTTTTATTGGTTTCGATGCACTGCGACACAGGACCATGAAAAAATTAAATGCACACTGAAATAATAATATATATTTTTTTAATAAAATGAAGCAAATTTTATTAAATTAATGACATTTATATATTCAATTCCTTATTTATTTAATGAATTTACATTTAATTAATTGTTTATCGCTGTATTTATTTATTTAATTGTGGCACTTTTTATCCTCCATAATTTCATCCCTGGAAACACTGCACCTGAATCCTCACTGGTGCCAAAGGACAATTATTCCTATTTTAATTTAATCTTTAAAGCATTTACTAAGCAGTAGTTTGTGTTTTGAAGGGAAAGTGTCGTACGGTTTTGCAGGGGTTGACTGGGTGGCAGAACCTCCCTGTTCCCTCGAAGCCTGTCAGACACCTGCAGGCAGTCTGTGGAAGAGACGAGCATTTCAGAAGAAAGTGTTTTTCATGTTAGAGCAGGAGCTTTTTCAGCGCAGCAGCGTTTCTTACAATGTTTGGGCCAGCTCTGGTGCACTCTGCTGCTTTGTGGCAGCCTCCATTGTTGACCAGACAGCCATCGATTTCTGCAGAAACAAGCAGGGGGTACATTTTCAGGTAACGCATGCCATTCCAGAAACACATTTTAAGCTTTGGTTTGTGTGAAACCCAAAAGATACTGAAGAATTTCTTTTTCTGCATCTACTTTTTTAAAAATTAATCACTATTAATTAAATTCAGTTTATTTCTATAGCACCAATTTACAACACATGTCATCTCAAGGCACTTTCCAGTTCACCAGATCATACAGTCCAATCTATTGAAAGTTTTCTATCTAAGGGAGACCAGTTGATTGCATCAACTCATTGACTCTTCAGCAATCCCTCACACTAAGCATGCTTGTAGCGACAGTGGAGAGGAAAAACTCCCTTTGAACAGGAAGGAATAAATATTATAAATTTATTTTTTACAAAACAAGGTTAATATAAAAAATAAGGATCTGAAAAGAGCCTAGTTAATTTTTTTTTAATGATTGAACATGAATTTACAAAACATTCAGGAGTGCATATAAGTAAAATAACGGGTTATGACTCCTTCAGAATATAAGTTCTGGATTTTTGGTCTACACAAAAGGTCCTTTTTACTCATAAGCTTCAAAATATGACATTTTAATCTTTTCCAATATTACCTTTTAGCTCATTTATAAGGTTATAAATGCAAAACTATGTCTGGCAGCAGGATAAGTATGCTTAGTTATGATAAATGGACACTGTATGTCTATTTTCTTTGATGTTTTTATTTTTAAGATTTTAGATTATTTTGTATGAAAGAGTATTAGGGCAAGGCTAGAGATTTTTTTTTCTTCTACTTCTAGAATAAACTCGTAACATTACGACAATAAACTTTAACGAGAAACAAGTTGTATTTTTTTACAACTCTTACAAGAAGCCCTTTCTTCCCTAAAATGATGAAATCTCGAGCATTATGTGAAGTTATACTTTGGCTATGGTTTGAGGAATAAGGAAATCTTTTAGCAGCAGCATCAAACTGGGCAGGATGGGCAGGATTGGTGGAACTGGTCGGCCGCCATCTGCTGGGCGGAGCTCCAAGCTTTCTTTCTGGAAAAGGTTGTTATATGATGACTTCACTCTCGTAATATTACAACTTTATTCTCGTAATGTTATGACTTAAGTCTCATAATTTTACAACTTTATTCTCGTAATGTTATGACTTTAGTCTCATATTTTTACGACTTTATTCTCATAATTTTACGACTTTATTCTCGTAATGTTATAAATTTATTCTCGAAATTTTACGACTTTATTCTCGTAATTTTACAACTTTATTCTCGCAACTTTATGACTTTATTCTCGCAATTTTACGACTTAATTCTCGTAATTTTACAACTTTATTCTCGTAATGTTACGACTTTTTTCTCATAATGTTACAACTTTTTTCTCGTAATGTTAAGACTTTATTATCGAAATAGAAAAAAATATTCTCTAGCCTTGCCCTAATTCTGCGTCGTACTTTTGGGATATTTTTTTTTTTATTGGGAAAATAAAGATGGCTTTAGGTCCATTTATTTTTTTTATTTTCTAAAGATTTTTTAGAAAACCCTATTTGGGTAAGAAAGGCCCAAACCTTTATTTAACTTCAAATATCTCCAGCCAGATGGAAAAAGAAACAGGACCATAAACTGACATGGAACCAGTCCAATCACAGATCACTGTATTCCGCAGAAGATACAGCTCAGCAACACTAAACTTTCCTCCGGTAGATTCTGGGTCTCTAATCAAACCTTCAGAAGTGTTTCTGTTCCTTTGGGCATCAGGAGGTCTTTGATTTACCCAGACAGACGACTCCATCACCGGTGTAACCCTCTTTGCAGGTACAGGTTCTCTCACCAGCAGAGACCTTTGTGCAGTTGGCAAACTCCGAGCAGCCACCGTTCCTAATGCTGCACAGATCCAGCTCTGGAAGACAGGAGGAGAACGGGTCAGAACCAGGTTATTTACTGGAACAGACATACGGCAGCGGTCAGGGCTTCTACCTCTGCAGTGGGTTCCGTTTCCATCGTAACCAGCGACACAGACGCAAACGGCAGCTGATCCCTGTGGTCCTGTGACACAGCTGCAGCCAAACACAAACTGTTAATGAAAAGGTGGGATGATACGGTTTGGAGGCAGACCTTTACTGCCTGCTGAAAACACCTTTCTAACAGGAACGTTAAACAATGGCTGATTTACAGCAAAGGATCAGACGGGGAAGTCTTCTACATGTGCACATTTAAACTTAAGGAGCAAATTCACACTAATAATTCAAATAATACAAAACTGAAAAAAGTTATAGCAGAAATGCACTAAATGATGATTTAGTAAAATTAAATAATAATTCTAAAACATAAACTATCCCAGATAAATTAAAGTACAGCTCATCAAAGCTCATGAAGTAAAGCTCAGGAACAGTGAACAAACAGGTGGAGAAATCTGAAGGAACTTTTTCTAAAGAAACATCTAATTTCAGTGATTACTTCAATCCAAGTGTTGCTAAACAACATTTTAGTTCACGAGTTTCTTCAAGATAGTTTACTTGTTGTACTTATTAATATATACATATGCATGTTTACATTGATTTAAAATTGATGTCATGATTTCTATTTGTTCTTTTTTTGGTGTATTATATACTGTATATATGTACACGCACACACGTATATGATTTTACACGTACAACACATTGACAGAGACACCTACATAAGTGAAATTTGCACAATGAAACATATTTGTGCCTGTAAAGCCGAGGCAAACACTGTGCGATTTTTTTCAATCGTTGCACGTAGCTACACTGTACGAGGAAACCGCACACATTTGGTGTTTTCTTACATAATGTGATCCCATGACATTAACATGGACCTTAAAAATGGATCTTAAAAAAAGTTAAAGATGTTTTGTTAGGGAAGTAAGAGCAGATGAAACTAAAAGCTTTGCTCTTGGTTTCAACCCAAGCCTGTAAATAATGCAGATGCTCACGGTGCACTTTCCTCCAACAACCCAAAGCAAACAGCCTCCTCTATCTGCAGCCAGTAGCTGGACATTGCTCCTTTTTATTTTTAATTAGTGCCGGGCAACAATTAAAAACAAATCACATTCAATCTTTGAATTAAATTGATTAATAAAATTACTTTGGATATAATTAAATAAGTGATTTTAAAGTGTATAGAACAAACAAAGTAGAGCCTACTTTTTTTAAACAAAGTTTAACTTTGGTATTGTTACAGATATAACTGCTTGGGCAATATTGTTAAATTTAGTTTGTTAAAAAAACATAATATTGGTTGTTCTAGTTGTCTATTCAATGTTTATTTTAGGGTAAACATGTTTTGATTTGCAAAAAAAAAAAGGAGGAAGATGATCTTCCAAGAGCTTAGCCTTTACACATGGTTCTCATCTAGCTTGGGTGGCGTTTGCTAACAGAGCTGGCAGACTCAGACCGGTTTTTCACACTGACTAGATAACCGATTCTAAAACCGGTCATTTTGACTCACATGTCACTCGTGTATCTAAGTGGAAAATACAAACACCGTCATTGCCTAAAATGCATTTCTGCTTTGATAGGCTGAATGCTTTGTTTACATAATATGATTTTAGTCCTACCAGCTGTCTTATTATCATTACTTCTGTCCATACACACACTAAAATCCCAATTTTAATTCTGAATGATTTTATGCATTTGATTAAGTTCATCTAAACCTGTTAGGTTTATTGAATGATGATTATAAAATTAATTTGTGTGCATATGAAACATTGAAGAAATGAGATGCTTCACTCTGTCTTATGATTCAATCAGTGGAGCATTCTGTCTTATGACCTGATCAATTGTCCTGTCAGAAGAATACTCTGTTTTGTAACCATGTGTTATGTTCTGTTAATAAAAGGGCACTGCAGGAGGGGGCCTCGAGAGAGAGTTAGTGAGTTGGGTTTGGCTCTTTTCCCCTCCTGCAGGAGCTGGTGAAAATCCCTTTCTGTGTGGACTCAGTCCATCTTTTACAAACCTACATTTTTGAACCAACAAAACCTAATACAGATTAAAATCCCAGCCATGACACAGAGGTTTAATAAGTGTTTCTACTGTAGCAGCCATTCAAAATGGCCCTTCCCAGCCGGATGACAGCTCACTACCCTGCAACTCCCAGCAAAATCCCCTCAATGCACCCAACATATTTTTTTCACTCTGACTCCACCATTTCGCTGAATTACAGTCTGACCAGGAGATGATGCTTCTCTATAGATCTTAATCTCCACAAATCATAACAAAAAGAACAATTTAGTTCAAAGATGTTTAAAAAGGAATTGTAGGGGACCAGCCAAGTATATTGCCAGCAGCAGATGGCAAACTCCAAGCAGCGTTTCTAACTCACTGCATATTTCTTCAAATTATTTCAATTAATTTGAAGTATTTTTCATATTTTTTAAAAAAGTTTTTTGTCTGTAATTGGTCTGATTTGTCTGCATTTCTGGGTGTTGGAGCAAAAATACATCAGACTTAAGTGAATCTGTGTTTACAGACTGATCTACACATTTGCAAATCTTAACACACATTTGTAGATCTGAATAGAGATTGGTGGATTTTTTACACATTTACAAATCAATTACACAAAAGTTATTTTACACATTTGCAGATACTCGTACGGAGAGACAAATCTCCTCATACATTTGCAAATAATTTTGCAGCAATATTGCTCCCAAAGCCAAGGGTGTCAGGAATCCAGTTTGTGTGGTCTGTTTTTGTGTTTCCTTTCCTCCTCCACCAGGTGGTGCCCCGTCCTCATTGGGTCTCCCTGCACACCTGCAGCTCATTGCCTCATTACCTATGGAGTGTTCTTAAGCTGCTGACTGCCACTACCTCGAGGCCAGAGTGTTTGCCAATACAGGGTACTCTAGCCAAGCTGAGTTTTGCTGAGTCAAACTGAGTTTTTGTCAACCAGAGTCTTAACTTTGTTTTTGTCTTTGCCTCTCGGCAGGAAGTCATCCTGCATACTGGATTTTTTCGGACCTTCTCTCTCTGGGAGAGAGGTACCTCAACTGAGCTTCTAATTGAGCTGAGATTCCAAACAGGAGGTTTGGATCCATTTTCCCCAAGAGGTCGTTTTAGCTTCACACTGAGCAAAGGTTTCATCTGCACCACAGCCCATTCAAGTACCGCAGGAAATCTGAGTGGCAGTCAGCTTCTCCATTTACCAAGGAACAACCGCAGTCTGAGTAAACCCGGTCCGCCCAACACCAAACAAAACAATAACTGGAACATTCCACACAGACTGGATTCCATAAAGGACACCTTTTTCTGGAGAAGTGAGTCTGCAGCCTATTCCTCCAATTCAAGCCAAAGAATCTAATTTCCCAATGAGCCTGAACTAACCGCAGTGTCTTCCCCTCACCTTCCAGTTCCGGTTTGACAGTGTTCTGAGCAGCACTGGATTCATCACTATATTCTTAATAAACATGTTAAAATTTTCCCTGGTCTATCTGCTTTGATCTTCTCCATTTTGGGTCAGACTTTTAATTAAATCATGACAAAGGGTCCATCAGGGAAAGTGGGGAAAATTTGAAAGGTTACTACTGTATATGTAATTATGAGGCGCTAAAGAAGCTTTATGGGGCCATACAATAATTATCAGCATTAAACAGCAGCTGTGTTAACACAATAATGTGTATAACTATTTTTTTTATATAATAACATAATAACATAATATAATTTCAAGAAAAATGGTGATTTAAATGAAATAAAAACTGTATGAAAATCTTTTCTGTGAAACTTAACTTGATGCATTTTTGATGCAGAAGTTTTGGGTTTAAAATAGTTTCACACGTTCTGTATTGTAACATATTTTGCACAGTTTGGTTTTGTATAAAAGCCTTGGAAGTATCTAACTTGGACACCGAGTATGAAGCCCAACTGGAACCTCCATCATGTCTGTCAGGAGAGATGCTGCTCTGCTTTCTCTGTGTTTTTAAAGGTTTATTATAGTCCTTCCTTTAAAACACTGAGATTAGGTCTATTACCTGTATAAATATATTTTTTTCGGACTCTATCAGCTTTATGCAAATGACCTGAAGCCATCTGAGTCCCCATAAAATCAATGTTTACATTCACACATTAAAAACATGAAAATGGCTGCATACAGATGCAGACTGGTACAATGTGCATCTGTATGCAGATTGAGTCAGACCCAGAGGCAGAGGGAGTAGAGCCTCATGAACAACAACCAGGGATGGAGTAAGCAGTGTCTGAATGGTAACTCACAGAGCTTTCAGTATTCTATGGTTAGCATTAGCTTGGGCTAAATGAAAACATGTTTCTTTTGAACCGGATTACAAAACACATTAATTTGCAATGATGGTAGAAACAGAACATTCCTCCAGTATAAGATTGCTGGACTATTACGTTGTGTGTTGTTGCTTTTATAAAAACAATCCTTCCTGAAGTGATTCAATGCCAACTAATCATTTCTTTGTCAATTTGGCAGAAAATGATGCCACACAGCTCTGCTCTCCATCACTGGGAGAACATTCATAGAAGACACACCTTTATTGCAGCCATCAGTGAAACATTTGTTTTCTCCAGCAGCTATAGTACAGTGCAGCCATAAATCCTGTGTTATATGCTGCACAAACCTCTGCCGTAAAACTACAGTTGGAAAAAAAGGTCCGTCGCTAGAATCTGGTATGTTTACATTCATGTTTCTATCATGTCTGTTCATTAACATGCACTGTCGAAATCAAATAAACCTATAAAACAATAAATAAAACTAGCCGAACTTGCTCCTCTTCTAATAATGAAGTAGATCCAGTAGGACTGAGC